AAAATTTTTTAAAAAATCCAAAATGATAATTTAATATGAAATTTCTGTTTTTTTATCAAATTTTAATAAAATTATCTAAATAAAAAAATTTTTTATTAATAAAAAAAATAAATAAAAATTATTTTATAATTTAATTTGTTTTTATTTAATGAATCTATATATTAAATTAACTTTAATAATTTTTTAACATAGATTTTTTGTAATGAACTTAAAATTATTGTTTTTGAAAAAAAAATTTTTTTTAAATCAATATCTAATAAAATTATATTAATATATTTTGAAAGATTACTTAAGTAACTTTATATCTTATATTTTCAAAAATATATTTGGAAAATTTTATTTTATTTTATTAATTAGTTATTGAATTATGAATAAGAAACTAAAGTCAAAACTATTTCAATTATTTTTGTTCCATACTGTATAAACTTTTTTTGATTTTTTTGAAAAAATTTGCCTATCTTAATTTAATCCTAAATTTTTTATTATACTAGAATTTCTGAATGATAATTGGCTTAAAATTTGAACTATTTGATTTATATGTAACAAGAAATATAAACAAGAAATTGTATAACAATAAATTTGATAATGTTATTGAATATAATAAAAAAAGCAAGGTAACAAAATATTTATTTTATTAAAAAATGTTTTAATACTTTTTCTTCTTTCTTATACTATTTTTTTTTTAAAAAAAATTAAAAGAAGTTTTATTTCAATCTAGTAAGAAACTCTTTCTGTTAATTATTATTTTGAGAAAATATTAAGCAATAACTTTATTTAAATATAAAATTTGTTTTAAGTAATAATTTTTCAAGAATGTAAATCTTGTTATAAATATCTTAAATATTCTTGGTCAACAATAAAATAATAAAAATTAAATAATTTGTCCAGTTGCAAGTGATAATAAAAAAATTATTTCAATAAATCAAATTTGATTTTGAAAATTTTTTTTTATCAAGATAAACTTTTCAACTATTTTTTTTTTTCTTTTATTTTCTTAAAAAATAAAAAATTTTTTTATTTCTTAGGATCGCAAGTTTGTATTGAGGTAACAGTCTAAATATAGATTAGCTTTAATCTTTTAGGGCTATAATTATAATATCTGATCTTAAAAAGAAGCAACTTTTATTATTTCTTATGATCATATCCAGAGAATTAGGATTTGAAAAATCTAAGATAGTTAATATTACACAATAATAACTTAATAAACCTACTCTCTTGTAGTGAAATAGTTAATAAATAGCCAAATTATATAAACAATATGGTGGTCTTGATATTAAGGATTCAAGAATTACATATAAATTTAAAACTTGTTAATAGATATTTTGCAAAGTAAAATAGTTTGGCTTTAATATAATATTACACTGTATATTGTATTATTGTTTATTAATTTATTTATTTATTATTATTTTTTTTAAAAAACAATTCTTATAATATAAATATAAAAAAAACCATTATTATTTGAAAAATAAAAGATAATATACTGTATTTATAGTTTTAATACTTTATAAATCAATAATTATTAATTAATTTTCAAATTTTCAAATAATTAGTATATTATCAAATAAATGATAAATCGGCATCGATTTTTACCAAATCAATCAAAGTATAAATGCATCAGATTAATCCGCAGATGTACTGAGGTAATCGAGATTGATTTGAAGTTACGGATTACAAATTATCGTCAATTAAAAGGTATGATATGTAAGCCTTTAACATTATTCAAGTATATTACAACTTATATATTAATAAATATATGGAAATTCCCACTAATGTGCCTTTGTCAATTTGACTAATCATTTATTCAATGAATAATTTGAGGTTGAAACAGCATTGAACGCGATCAATAATACAAACATCACCATTTTTCCTAAACTATTTATTATATTACGCTCAATAAATCATTCAGCCTGTAAGATTTCGATGTACCTAAACAAATAAAATATTAATAAATAAATTTACTGTAGTTTCTTCCATAATCACCAATAATACTCACTTTCGAGAAGTCTTTGTTGAAGCTCTGTGATGGACCTTTTGTTTTTTAATTTTACCAGCCTTACGTCTTTCAGCTGCAAGAATTTCGGCCCTTTGTAAAACTTTTGCATAAGGGTTTAGACGGATTTTTACTCCGTTGTTACGAAGGGGGTTTTTCTTTTGAGTCCAAGGACGTTTTTGATGCTTTTCTCCAGCAGGTCGGAGGATTGACTGAATCTTTGTGGAGTTGATGATACTGGTCACATCAGGATTTGAAATAATATGACTTGGAAGACTGAAAAAAGAATATAGACATTGGTAGTAACAAAGTTAATGTTAAGAAAAAGATAAATTGATAAAAGTTAAAATACCGGTAATCTTTCTTAAGAGATGCAGCTTTTCGGTAAGTTCCAAACAATTCATCCAGTAAAGAAAAAGCCCCTTGAGACCAGATAATAAATCTACCCAAATGACCACCAGGTGCTAATTGTAGTAAATTCAAATGTCTAACATTAACAAGTTCAACTCCTGGAATATTGCGAAAGGCTTTGACAACCCCATGATCTTCGTTATAAACTATTAAGGGTCCTCTACGTTGACGGTGACGCCTATTACGTAATTTACCCTTGCCAGCTCTTAATTTGCGAGAATTTGAAACCTTAACTACATCTTTGTATGCTTTAACACTTTTTAGAAGGCCAACAGCTGCTTTAGTTTTGGTCAAAGATTCAATACCATTGCCAATTACGAGCGGTACTTCCTTAATTTCTTCAATGCGATGGCCTCGCGCCAGAACGAGAGATGGAATAGAAGATGCTGCCAATGCTGACGTAGTAGCGAATCTTTTTTGATTTAAATTAGTTTTAATGTGCCATTTACGCCAGATTTTGGTAGGTGCGAACATTCGACCTCCTCTACACATGTTACCGAAAGCACCCTTTTTTGATCAAGAAATTATTTAATCAACGATGTGAATCTTTTTCCGTAAACCTTTTTACAGTCAGTATAAAATTAATTACCTGTCCTGCACGATGGGTACCACCACCAGAGACGCGGGGAATACGGGCAACAGCACGACCAGTTCCCCAAGATTCGGCTGAAGTTTGATGTCCGGCTTTTGAAGATACGGCATAAGGTTGACGATTACTCTTTGCAATATTTGTATGAACAAATCTTACAACATCAGGTCGAATTGGTGCTTTGAATACTGCTGGAAGCAACACGGAAGTCATAATTGCTTCTCCCGTTTCGGAGTAAACATGAATTTGGGGTCTCGCCGCAGACTTGTTGAATATTAAGTATATAGAAATTCATCAGTAAATATTATCTACGGCTATATTTAGATCGCATGGACGTGCTTCAGGAATATTATGTGTTTCTAACTCGTAGAAAGAAATTAATCGAAACCTTGATCTTGTCATTTATTCTCTTAAAGTATTTATTTACTCCATAATTATAAATTAAATGAATTGATGTAATGGATTAAATGTAAAACTCACCATCTTTCTAGATGACAAAAGCGGTAAAAAGGGAGAACGTTTTTAACAAAAAATTTTCTTAAAAATAATGATGATGTTTGACTTTGATTGGCTGATTGATCACGTAGAAACAAAAAAAAAATTTTTTTTGATATAAAGTTCTTTTTTCAATTTACTCAAAATAATTTTTATAAATTTAAATTTTTTTAGATTATTGTATATTGTATGGAAATTAATACGATATATACAGTATTATATTTAAAGATTTTATATTAAAATAATTTACTTGTTATTTTAATAAAAAAATAATTTAAAAAACATTTAAAATTTTTTATAAATTATACTTTTATTTTTATTTTTATTTTAAGGCAAACATGCATTAATACAAAATCTTTATTGATAATTAATATTTAAATCATATATTAAATATTTTTTACAAATAAAATTATTTAACTCAAAATTATTTTTATTAATATACAGTAGTTCACAAAAATAATTAATCAATAATAATTTATAAAAAAAAATTAAAAAAAAAATCCAAATATTTAAATTTAAAAAACTTGAAAAATAAATAAAATCTTTTTAAATATAATATTTAAAATTAATATATTTTTTTAATATTGAATTATTTTATTATAAATTATTTTAAAAAATAATAAAAATATTTTATATTAATATACAAATTATAATTCAATTGAATATTAGTAATTTATTTTTTTTTTTTTTTAATCCCGCAATCAGGTTGATGTCATTTATTTATTAAATCATAAAGAACCATCACATGCATGAGAATACATGCAAAGTACAAATTTCCCCGACCCAACTCACCCGTCTTTAGCCGAAGCCTCTAGATGCGATTAATGGGGGTAATGTATTGTTCCCCTAAAGAATAGGATTAAGATCCCAAATTTCCGATAGGATCAGCACCTGCAGATCACCTCCACAGTCACGACCATAAATCCAAAT